ATATATTACGTGCATTTTCTTTGGTAAGATTCTAAAGTATGGCACTCGGTGCTTTGGTAACCAATCTCCAGCTTCCCCCTCCCACTGGACCTCTTCCCGTTTCCCTCTTCTTCCAAGTTTTACAGTGAAACGGGAACTCTGCCATCAGTTCCTAGCTCCCTCCTCCCGGTGGCACTAGGATTTGAATCCTGCTTGGAAAACAGGGTTACATCTTCTGTGTTCCCTTTTCACTGTTATTTAACTGTAGGTGGATTGGAAAGGCTTTTTCTTCCAGTAAAGCGCTGATGCTCTGCTATCTCACTGGAACCTGGAATGCCAGAGAACAGCAAGGATGGGAAAGGCTCTGAGGGGACAGTTTGACTCAGCCTGACCCAGAACTAATGCTGCAGTGCTGGAAGTTCCCATCCTCATAGGTTTTTGTCCAGACACGCTGAACAGCACTGCAAACCTTATAGCAAAGGTAAAGCAACTGGTTAGGTTTTACAGTCAAGGAAGGTGGTGTGTGCGGGGAGGTGGAAGTGCTTCTAAAAACTAAGGCCCATAAAACACCTGGCAAGCCTTTAATTTATACACAACTGAGCTGAAATACCCTGTTCCATATTAGATAGTGCCATACACCAGACCTGTATGTTTTATGCGAGAACGGAGAATTATTTCTTTGCATTTTGGTAAGGACCAAGTGGACCAGTTTAAAGGAATTCTATAGCTACACTATATGTAAAATGTGGATTTGTATACCTGTATGGGGAAGTGTGCAGGAGAGGAAGTACACAAAGGCTTTAACTCCTAAACAGCCAGGAAAAAATAAACCTCTCTCACATTTAATGCGGTAACTGTGGGAAGTGACTATTCTGCACTACCACAGCCAACACAAATAATTAGGAAAGCTGGAAATCTGTCATATGTAATAACCTTCTGCAAGATGGAAGGGACTGCCTTGCAGGACCTCACTCAGTAATGTAACAGAGGAAGAAGTAGAGGAGCTCTTGACCAAAGAGGCAAAAAAAAAAAATCACTGTGTGTCCAAAAGCTGCTTGTCTGTACCCAGCTGCAGCCACCAGACTGTTAAGATACTTCATCTCCTTGCAAACCTTGTTCTAACCCTGGTGTGTTAAGCAGCTCTACCACTACGCAGCAGCATACAGACATCTTTATGCCATGACTCTTACCACTAACAACTGATGTGTCTTACCACAGCTCTGAGCCATTACTCAGCTGCTAAATTCTCTCCTTCATTGTGTGGATAAATACAGGCAAACATCAAAACACCTTTTTCCGTCACGTTTCCATGTGTCACGCTGGTACTTGTATAAGCAGCTGGCAATCATACATCTGCAACTACTCAACTGCACAAGCAATTGTCTGCACTAATGAGATGCAGGTATGTGTATGTTTCTACTGTATTTTGGATCTCTGCAAAACACTGCTTTAGATCTAATTTTGCTTCTCAGTTAAGACCATACTTGCCAGAAAAAGAGTGAGCAAATAGCTGCTTAACTGGAAAATGATTGGATGTCTTATTTTTATTAGTTCTTGAAAAATTCAATAAGTATCCAACAGCACAGTGGAAAATTGTTAAACCTCTTGAACATAAACATGCATCTCCTTCGTATTTAACCAGCTGAAAATACCTATTTTTTTTAAAGTACGGGATATGGATTGTATATTAAAATGCAACAATCGCATCAAAAGCCTCTTCTCTTCTCACCCACACTTTCTCGTGGGCGATCTGTCATACTGCTTAGCTTCCTCCATAACTACGAGCTTTGAATTCAGATTTTCAGAAATAGCTTTGAAATGCTGTCTCAGAAACAGTTGTGCTTCTGTTCTTGCAGAGTGCGCCCTAGGGGGCAACGTGGGTGAGAATCTGAAGTTTTATTTTTAGTTAAACTTTGCTTAAAATTTTGTTCTGATACAGAAGTATACTGAAGGGAAGATGGCTTGTAATTTTAAGGCTTTAAGTGTTTCAGCTCTGCGAAAAAGACTCACTATATCTGCATAACTTCTACCATCTGCAAAAGCAAGACAACAGTACTTGATTCAAGTGCAAAGATGTTGCGAAGCTTCATTCATTCCTGTTTGTCTGAAGGATCCAGACATCCGCAAGCAGAACTGACTGTGGAAGTCAGAGGCATTACAGTTTGTTATTTAAATAGCTCTGCAAACCACAGCCATTTTACTGTCTGCCTTTAACCATCACTAGTGTGCTCCTTGTTTAAAATCACAAATTTCATTTTGTCTCATATTGAGTGTTTTAAAATTAGCAGTCTCCATCAACTTAGTTTAGACCAGTGGGTTCAGCTTTATGACAGGAGAGGCCATGGCAGCACCCCAACAGTCCATCTGCAGAATTTGGATTTGACCAAGCATCCTCCAAGTTCAAAGAAGGACTAGCAACAGGGATTGACTCTGAGCACCCATAAGGAGTTAAACAAAGAAGGCAGCAATATACTGTGGTCCAAAAACACAGCAGTCAAAGTGAGATAAAAAGTTTTAGCGAGCGAAGATGACTGTTCCCATTTCTAACACTACTCACCATTCCACTGATGCAGCGGCCACAGGCTGTCGTTTTGAACTCTCCATGCAGCTCCTTCACTGCACTTGTTGTATAAAAACCTTCTGCCAAAAGGATTATTCCATATAAGAAGAAAAATGATGCAATGCCATAAATTACATACTGCATTAGCTGAATTCTAAAATGGAAAAGAAAAAAAAGATACAATTAGATTTCAGGCCTATAAAAACAAAGTCAGTCCTTCCAAATCATAACAGGTGTGAGGTAACTCCTCTTCTAGAAATACAGTTCAAGGCTCCTTAACGCATTCTTAGCAAGCAGGCTGCAGGAGAGCGCTGGTATGACTAACCTGCTTCTACAGGTAAGCAATACTGATGTGCATTAGTCTTGCATCTGCTTGAGCATCCCCTGTTTGTGCTGCAGTTCTTACACTGGCTGGCATTAGTCACCAGCTTGAAGCCACAATTTTGTTGCGTCCACTATGGAGATTTTTTTTTTCCCCCTGTTAGTTATCGATCCTGAGACCTAACTCAGGGAATGTCTGACAGGGACAACACAGGGCTTTGAAATGGTAAAGGCTGGAGCTGAACTACCAGGCTCTGTGGCAATTCCTCTGGCTTAGGGAAAAGGAAGTAGTCCCTGAAAATCACTGTTTCCACCTCTAAAATCCAGTTGATGCATGTTTGCAAAAATTTACAAATTCAGTGGTACTTCTCTGATACAAAACTCAGCAATGTGCAGTGAATTCTCCTGAGGAGGAATGGTTGGCTCTACAGCCTAGGAGGGTACTTCCAAGAGAGAAAGTAGTTTCAGTGCCTTAAGTCACAGCAGTGTCGAGCTCCCCAAAACGTAATTAAATTCTTAAAAACTGAAAAAAATATTTAGGAAATGCTTCCATTTCAGGTACTGTGGAACCATCCAGAGGAAGAAGATTGCAGGCCACATGGCACAGGAACTTCCCTTGGATATGATTTGAGAAGGTTCTCAATTCCTTAAAAATCTACCATCTGCACTGACACTCTTTTGGTATTTTTACTCTGGCTAGAATAGGTAAATGGAAAGAATAATTTCTAAATATTATCAATCAGATTCAGTATCTGAACCTGATTGTTTTGGAGGACCAGAATGCCATATCTTTCATACAACATTTCTTCTGGTCTCCAAAAGTCATACTTTGTTATTAGCACTTCTCCTCCACACCTTATGCCTTCTTCAAAGTAATTTGATTGTTGGGATTGATATTCTGGATGAAGCTATTCACAGAACAGAGAGATTCATTTTATACATCCATTCTAAGGATAAATCTATTTTTCCTCAAATGTGTTTTTCAATTCTTACCATTCCCCACTAAGTAGATGCTAGCATACAAGTACATCTCCAAGGAGCATCTACATGGCTTAGCTTAATTTAAAGAAAACTGATTAGTACCATTTACATAGTTAAATGTTATCCAGATAGACAGCACACTCCTTGTATCAAAATAGAATATTGCTCATTTAAAATTACATGTGGGAAGTGTTATGTTTATTTTCCAAACTGATTAAAAATAACAGGATAAATCTGTTGCACCTGTGCTGTAAAGCGTGAAAAAAAAAATTAGTCAATGTTTGAGACAGAATGGAAGAATTCATTTTACCATCATTAATACTGCAGGAAGAACTTGATGCGCGTTACCAGAAATTAGCAATATGAGACCTGGTTAAAAATCCATTGCACAAAGGTGCCTACTAGTATATTCTTAATTCATTTTATGCTTCTTTGTCCTTAAATTATTTGCCCCTTTCTAGGACCTCTTCCCCCTTGCCTTGTCAGACCTCCAAAGAGCCTATGAGCTCAGCTGCTTTGGTGGGAATTACCCGACAAGAAACATTGTCAAAAATCCCCTAAATTTAAAACTTTCTGCCTGTTACAGCTACTTTTGCAACTCCTTCTATTTTGCCCAAACGTAGACTGCTACAAGCACAAGGATGCTCTGTTAGGCGGTCACTGAAGAACGGCTGCTTAGCTTCTTGCTATATTTGGTGGCTGACTGCAGGGTCCCTGTGGCTCATGCACTGCAGCCTCGGACATGGTGCCCAGCCGCACCGTGGGGCTGGGAGCGGGGACGGGACCCCAGTGGGGTCATGTGGCAAGTCTGGGCACAGGGGGTCCTGCAAGGGGGAGAGGCTCCAAAACAGGGCACAGGGGGTCCTGCAAGGGGGAAAGGCTCCGTTGGTCCAGTGCTGTGGGACCGATGCCTGTGCTCCTGGGGGACGGGAAGGGGCCAGCTGTGGAAGTCTCAGGCTCAGGGCAAGCAAACCGGCCCATAAGCACGGGCCACGCAAGCCCCTCTCCCAGAGGCACACGGGGACCCCTGCCCAGAGCCCTCGGGCGGCTCTCAGCCGGTTTCGGCTGCCTTCCCTCACCCCACCCCCCTGCCTGGGAGGATGGAGACATCTCTTGGGGCTGGCCCCACGCCGTGCCCG